TGTATCTTAGTGTAGTCTACTTGTGTGCCAAGTTATATTGAAATCAGACCAAAACTGTAGAAGGAGTAGCGTTTTAAAGGAATTTCACAGAAAATTCTATTTTCAGTAACCATGGCAACACCGTTCACCAAAATCAAAAACCGACGCACTATTCTATGTATCTTATTGTAGTCTACTTGTGTGCCAAGTTATATTGAAATCAGACCAAAACTGTAGAAAGAGTAGCGTTTTAAAGGAATTTCACAGAAAATTCTATTTTTAGTTACCATGGCAACACCGTTCATTGAAATCAAAAACCGATGCACTATTCTATGTATCTTAGTGTAGTCTACTTGTGTGCCAAGTTATATTGAAATCAGATCAAAACTGTAGAAGGAGTAGCGTTTTAAAGGAATTTCACAGAAAATTCTATTTTCAGTAACCATGGCAACATCGTTCATTGAAATTAAAAACCGATGCATTTTTCTATGTATCTTAGTGTAGTCTACTTGTGTGCCAAGTTATATTGAAATCAGACCAAAACTGTTGAAGGAGAAGTGTTTTAAAGGAATTTCACAGAGAATTCTATTTTTAGTAACCATGGCAACACCATTCATCAAAATCAAAAACCGATGCACTATTCTATGTATCTTAGTGTAGTCTACTTGTGTGCCAAGTTATATTGAAATCAGACCAAAACTGTAGAAAGAGTAGCGTTTTAAAGGAATTTCACAGAAAATTCTATTTTTAGTTACCATGGCAACACCGTTCACCAAAATCAAAAACCGATGCACTATTCTATGTATCTTAGTGTAGTCTACTTGTGTGCCAAGTAATATTGAAATCAGACTAAAATTGTAGGAGGAGTAGCGTTTTGAAAAATTGTTTACAGACAGACGGACAGACAGACAGACAGACGGACGGACGCCGGACGCATTACTATCGCATAAGCTCTTCTGGTCTCTGACCAGTAGAGCTAAAAACTATACCTCCAAATTCATAACATACCACAAGACCACCCAACATTACATTACCAGTACATCACAGAACTAAATCAGAGTCTATATGGTTATACATCCACTGCAGCTGGTAGTACTTAGCAAATATGCTGAGTTTGACCTTACAAGAACCTTAAAAAAAAAATCACCTTACTTTTCCTTATACATTTATTCCACTTCATAACAGCATGGTATATTTCAGTGCCAGGACAATGGTCTTAAATCCGTAATAGGTCTGACTTGGAAAGGAAAAACATTTAAATACACAAATTTAAATCGTTGATATACAGGGTCAGGCAATGAAGATTGCTTTGTGATAAAGTTTGAAAGGTGTTTTTTTGGTATACCTGGTTCATGAAACATACATGTACTATTTGCTGGGTGACTGGCACTATACTATAGATGTCTATTTCTCATACATAAAGGTCACTTAAGAGTTCAAGTGATGCTGTAGGAAAAAGTATTATGGGTAGCTTAAGATTAAATCAACATTCAAAAAATCTTAATACATAAGTGCTATATTAAAAAAATCTTTGATAAATGTGTTTTCAATTTAAACATGAAAGCTATGTAAATCCTTAAAAGAAATATTTACTTATGAAAAACCTTATAGATTTAAAAATGAGTAATATTTTTTTAAATAAGATTTTCTGTGTGAAAAAAATGCACTTAAAAGGTTTAATCATAACACTTAAAATTATCACATTGTCAATAAACCTAAAGTACTAGTATCTGTAGAGAGTACCTCATCCATTCTCCAGTCTGAAGTACCAGGAAAGACCTACCGGTAGCTGCCCCCGTTCACCCCCCATTTTTAACCCACCCACTACCCCATTTTCTTTTTGATCATGTCAAAATCTCCCAACTGTACATTTTTGTATTAGTTTTTTTCCATAAAAAATGACAGCGGTACCCCCTCCCCCAATACATTACAGTCTCACAATTACAGTCTCAGTATTAATTAACCTGAAATGGATCTTTATACTTCAGAATTCTTTGATCTGAATTTTGTCCAAAATGGCCTCAAATCATCATTCAAGCCAATAATGCACCTCATATTTTCTATGTTAATGCTAGGACAAGACGTTGTTTTTCAGAATCCTGGAAGATTTTTCCCCAATGGTCTTGGTTCAGGGAAACAATATAACCTTAATTATCAAAAGCATCAAATCCTTTGTGCAAAATAAATATGTCTTACATTTCCTCTTACACATATGGACCACAAACAAGTCAAACAAATTGATGGACATAGTGATTCTTATATGCCCCCAAATTTTGTCAGTAGAGAAGGATGGAGGGGTGAAGGTCTGAGATGGAGGGTGGGGGTATAAAGATGGCTAAGGACACATGCATTTTGTTGTTCAAAAAATCAGATGAACCCTAAGGCATTTTGAGTCAAATTCTTTACAGATTTTAAACACCTTTATAACTGCAACATAAGTCACATCTAAACAATAACCCAAACCTCTCATATTAAAATGACATTTTTCAAATCTTATCAATTTCTATAAGCAATATTCAAGAAGACCTATTAATAAATTTCAGATACAGGAATGCATTGACTATAACCTTCAACATTACCTTTAACTTTCATCACTTAGACCTATCACTAAGATAGGCAGTATTTGCTTTCCCTTCATTCCTTTGTACAATGTACACTATAAACTACTTCAGTGTTCAAACAGCTGATTTGAACTGATTTCCTTCTTTATATAGACTTAAGCTGGTCAAGTCAAAGCTGGTCAAGTCAACAGAGATCAGAATTTCAATACACAGATTCATTCATTCATTGAACTTGTAGCTTTCAAAAGAAATTATGAACACATGAAAATTAATGCTAAATTTGAAACATCTATTGACGCAATTACTTCAATGCATGATCCATATGTTGCACAGTCATTGTATTACTTTGTATCATGCCCACAGACCATCGACAGCTCTATCATTACATTGGACAGTAATTATGACTTTCAACATCAAGAAACTGTCCTTCACTTTTACCAAAAATATCCAAGCAAAAAAAATTGTATCTTATCAATAAGCCATTTAATAATTGAGGAAATTTCACAAAACAAAAACACAGGTAATCAAAGATAATGAATCTCACCTTAACAAAAGTTCCCTATAACAGCTAGAGAAAGATAACATAATCTCACTTGAAATGAATGTTCTGATAGCAGTGGCGGATTTAAGGGGGGGCGCACCCGGCGCGCGCCCCCCCTAAAATTGTAAAAGTTAGCGTAAATCAAATATGTCTACTTGGTAGAACTCATTTTTACCCTTCAAAATCTCTAGAATCCAGGAGCTTCCGGGGGCTTCGCCCCCTGGGTCCCCACCAGGGCTTTGGTAGACCTCATTTTAACCCTTCAAAATCTCTAGAATCCAGGAGCTTCCGGGCTTCGCCCCCTGGGCCCCCACCAGGGCTTTGCCCTGGACCCACTGGGGGCCTCAAGGCGGCCCCCAGACCCCTTGCCTAATTTTGGCGCCCCCCCCCAACTCCAAATCCTGGATCCGCGCCTGGATAGTTATGCAATATCCATGCAAATTTGGTCCAAGTTACTCAGGATTATACAATCACTCCAAAAACTTAAAATTCTTCTGTCATCCTAAAAATGCAGATGAGATGCAGACTTTGAGCAAGTTTTCTAGCGTACATCTTAGGACATCAACCCCTGCAATTTTGGTTGGGTAAAGCTTAAAGTTTTCAGTACATGGAAATGGAATTGAATGCTCTAAAAACACTTATAAACCTATTCAATCATTGGGAAATGTAGCTCAGATCCAGCATCTGAAGCAAGAATGGTAATGTTCAACCCTATAATATGCATGGATCACTGATCTAGACAAAAGCTTTACAGTTACTTTGAAATGAGACTTGCTCCTAAAACATGAACAGGGACACCAATTCAGTCACTGGAGACAGGGCTGTAGCATTATAATTCCTCTTATAAACTAAACAGCTTCAACTAAAAGTAGTTCATATTATTTATTCATAGAAATACTGATGTGAGCTAAAATGTTATACATGTAGAGGAGGAGAGAAAGAGAGAGAGAGGTCAACCTTACTCATAAATATGAAAAAAAATTACAATACAGAATATGATATCATATACTTGATGAAAGAATGAAAATCATCAGTACCGATACATATTATTATAATGATAAATGTTGATAACATTAATGTCTTCAAAGAAGGAAAGACTTTTGAACATAAACCTTAAGTTCTCACTTTCATTTTTGATTAACTTACAATGCACTCTGACCAGAAAGCACTGGAGTTTTAATCTGACTTAATTATTTTTAACTCCGACAGAGGGAGTTGTGAACTACCTACACAGTAAACTAGCAACTTTCATCATCAAAAGAAAAAATCAGAAAATTGTCTGGAAATTCCCCTTTTGATAAATTTTTCATTTAATTTTCATTTGACTCCAAAAACCATATTTGCAATCTTCAAAGAAAATTCTGTTGCATTTTCAAAGTATATCAATAATGCACATTCCTTGCCCCTTGGTAATGCATCTACCAAAAAATATTATTGACGTATGAAATATTTTATTTCTCGAGAGAAGGACATGATTACCATATTTCAAATCAAACAGGAAAACTGTTAGATATTTGGAAGTGGCATTAAATTGTGTTTTACAAACAGAAAGGAACCATTGAACCAATCATATGTAAATCTTACTATATTGAACAGGATATTTAATCAGACATAGCTAGATATTTACAGATAAAGTGGAATTTTGCAAATACATGTATTTTATTCGATTTTCTTTAAAAATTGATTGGGCCAATTTGAGATAACAATCACAAACAGTCGTTTGCATGAATGTTTTTTTTATTAATGACAAAGCTCTTCTTTGAATTCACTGATGAATGACAAAGCACTGCTTTGACAAGTGTTTCACTTGAAAAGCATTTCATGTTTCAGTTATTCTCCCTAATAATTACCTAAAAATATATAATCATGCATGCTTTACAATACTTCTAGGGAAAAAAACACAACTCAGCATGACTTACCTTTGTTTACAATAGATACATGAAATTTACAGCATGTCAGTTTCCTCACTGGAATTCCAACACTGTACAATCCATGTCTACTCTCAATCGGATGGAACCATGCAATTCGTCCTGCTCTCTGGTCACAATGGCATCACCAGAAGTTTTGATGGACACCTAATTTCTTTATTGATCTGTTAATGGACTTGTTGGTTTTTCTTTCCGGGCTGTTAATTTCAGTTTCAGTCCAAGTCATCAAACCACGACCATCTCCATGTAATGCAAGCACTACCTGTTATGAATTCCCTATACCCTGCATTTAAAATTCCACATATAAACACCTTATAACACTAATCACTGGAGCATGGAAAAGTATAAACTGCTAAGCGGGGCAAAGAAATTCATCTATGCACTTATATTTCATTCAAATAATCAAATGTATATTTTCATTTGGTATTCTCAGTATTGCTTCAAAGAAAGATGTACACGTATACTAGCAAATTTGACCTGATAGGAGATATACTGGAAAAGTCTCAATCTTATTGTGTCTTACATGTTATTTAGATCAAGCTATTGTCAATGGCCCAATCCCTCTATAAAAGGCATTACTCCCTAGTCAAGACCTTTAAACACCACTGTTCAATACCTGCAAATTAAAAAAAGCGAGAATTAAATTCCTATCACAGCTTTAAACAGTCTCCCTTTTGTGATTGTTATCTCAAATTACTTGTGGTCAACAGCTTCAGTTTATGTATATAATATATGTAGTATTTTGCAATGTGCTTTTCAATGATAGATAAAGAAACTTCAGTTCATATTGTATTTCATACTATAACATCGATGAAAGAATATTTTGAAATCACTAAGATGCAATGTGAACTGTAGTGACCTAGCTAGAAAACTAACCTTTCAGAGAATCTTTTTCTATTCAATGGTGCCATTTAATAAACCTGGTGCAAATACAGAAGACATCAAATTCCACTATAACGTCACTAAGAACACTCTCAACATTCAACTCAACATTTTGAACACCAGTAAGCTTTGAAATATTCCCAATGTAAAAAGCTCAATGTCTTTCAATTTATTCCCATGTTCTTACTTTATACATACACGTTTATTACATCTGTTCAAAGACTTTCTAATTCCTCAAATATTTGACATATGCCACTGAAATGACCTTGACCTTTCAGAGGACTTTGGTAAATGTTATTGTAAATTGCTGTCAAATTGAAGTGTTGTACACAAAATATGGTTGGCATATATTCTTAAAGACAATCATTGAAGAAATCAGTGATAGTAATCCCCCCCACCCCCACGATGGACAATTTTCATATTTCACAAGTTTATTCCTTGTTAGGGCTGGGACAATACAACTTTTTCTATATTGATACGTATCAAGATATTTGAGCCAAGATACAATGTATCACAATATATTACAGTCAATTCTCGATAAACCGCCACCTTTTGTAATCCAGAAATCATGGCGGTATAACGAATTTGGCGATGAATTGAATTTTCCATCACTTAGGAAACAAGAAGTAGAGTTACCGTTCTAAACAATACCATTCGCGTTTCTATTCGTTTTATTACATGTACATGTATATAAAATTATACATACTCCTTAATTTGAGAATACTTCAAGTAATTTTTTATGTACAGTTTAGCTAAAAACAAAATGTGCAGTTTTTACATAAAGACAAGTATATGTGTATGCATGTAAATCTGCAGTGTGATATTGAAAAAAAAACATGCTGGGTCGATCGTCGTAAGATATTGCCGATAGTACGTAAAATGAATTCTTGAATAAATTCATTGTTAATGGCATCATTGTTAATGAAACGTCCAGAATTTATACCGTATATTAATTTTTAAAGCAAATTTTTGTTTTGTTTAAACTAATAAAGCAGAGATCATTAAAATAATATTGTTATCGGCATGCTTTAACAACGACAGCTTTCAAGGCAAAGTCGTGACTAAATGATTTTTATTTAATAGAAAACAATTTTTTTATATAATAGTTCATGTTAAAATTATTGTTTATTTAATTCTTAATTTTTTTATATAATAGTTCATGTTAAAATTATTGTTTATTTAATTCGTATTTAATCTTTAATTATTTAATTGCATGTACCTTGTCTGGCTTTGCATGATTTACAACAGGGTTAGCGTCAACCAATTAGCCGCGCTTCACTGACCACATGCACCTGTGGCGGTATATCGAGATAATTGACACTTAAAAATGGACGTTTGTTGTGAAAACAGGGTGGTGGATGGCGGTATGCGAATTCGGCGTTATAAAGAGAATTTTATATAGCAGGAAAAACGTTCTTGGGAAATCATGGCGGTATTGCGAAAATGGCGATGAATCGAATGGCGATAATTCGAGAATTGACTGTAATTGGTTTATATCAAATCTTTTTTTTTTTGCATTGAAATAAACAAAATATTACTTTGCACATAAGAATAATCAATTCAAAATAATTGTTTATAATTTTCTTAACTTTGATCAAAGCCACAACTTTATGGTTGGTGCTAGGACTTTTATTTTTCACATGTGTACAGAGCTGCCAACATTCTGAAATGACTAATAGGACCACCTAGGCCCCCTGCTGCTGAAGATGTTTTGTAAATGGACATTCAGACTGATCGAGGCATGTTTCCATTTTGTTTACTTTAAAACATTGACATGAGTGTGATCAGCCTTTAAAACCGAAATGAAGATAATACAAGCAAGCGTTGTAAGAATTATAAATATATTATAATAGTAGAAACAATAGACTGCCAGCTATGAAAATACCGATATTATAAACTTTGAAGGAGAAAAACTGAAATCGTAAGAATATAGAGAGAAATCGTAAGGCGTAATTTACACGCTGATTTCGTGCGCCTTACGCCAAAATCGTAAGGGCTGGCAGCTCTGTGTGTAAAATATTTGACCTTGACTTTAGAGTTTGGCCCACTTTTTAAAAAAATTTAACCTTGACCATAACTTATGAGCCGTTAGTACAAGCTAAGACTTTCATATTCCACAGGTGTATTCCTTGTGCAAGACCTTCCTTTGGGTAACAAAAATTTGACCTTGGATTTTAACATGCATTGCCATTTAATAAATATTAACCCTCGATCGCCATTGGCTGCCATACGGGGGTTTAAGTGTTTCACAAACACTTCTTGTTTCCAAATGTTCTTACACTAATCTTGCATTGTGTGTGTGTGTGTTGTTTTTTCCTTTTTGATTAAGCTTGCCTCTGTGCGCAACTGTTGCATCTTTGAAACTCTACTGTTGTTTTTATCCTGTCTAGCACCTGCAATTAAAATGAAATTATTAGCGAGCGCAGCGAGGCGTAGCGAGCTCAATAGACTAACGTGTACGAACGGAGGAAATTCGGATTGAAATCTGCACATTGTTTCAAGAAATTTTTCTCTCACCGCGTCAAAAAATTCCAAACTCCCAATAATCCTTTGCGGTGCATAGCAACATGGTGGCTAAAACATAGCAACAACTTACTTGAAAAAAATTACAAACAACGATTTAATGCAATATCCATGCCACGAAACTATCGTTTGCGTTCTAAGTCAACAGGACTTTTTATTTGATGTCATACTTTCGTCATTTAACGACTCGGGTATTTCCGATTTTGTCGGAAACTTCCGATAAGTTCGGAATCTCGATCCCGACGCCTGAGAAGTGATTTCTTTTATTGTTTTCTTTTTTAATGAACTGAGGATAGGCAGTGCAAGTAAAAGCTGTGTAAAGGTTTTTGATAGTAAGTAACTGCGCTCGCCCCAACGGTCGCACCGTAGAACATAATTTATTATTATTTTTTATTCTTGAAAAAAGACAGTGTTGAAATTTTCCGTCTAAGAAAAAGCAAATCCAATGACGTTATCTGACTTATCAGGTTATGCAATGAAGTTATGAATATGCAGTCTGACCAACAATGGCGATTTGATGATGAACTGATGCGCCAGCTTTAAAACGATCCTCCTTGATCTCATCTAATTCGGTGCTTATAGAAAATGTAAGAAAAAGGTTATTCATTTAAAATACTGCAACTTTCAACAAGTTTTTTCTCGGCTTTTTAACTTACAATACATTGGGGCTTGTTGTACCAGGAGGTTGGAGTTAAATTTAGCGGGTTGTTTGCAGCACCGGATGTTCTTTGACTGACATTTTGGCGGGAACGTTAATGATATAGCCGAAATTTTCCCGGATTATTTTTTTTTTTTTTGTCGGCACCCATTTATTCTGTTACGCTACAGGCACTTTTTCGCAAACATAACTTTTACTATTGAAAATGTACATTGAAAGGCTGGTTGCCCCCGCTTTTTTTTTTTTTTGCTACATTGAAATAAGGGTAATGTTACTAATGTAGTATGCGAACAAATTTGGAATTGGTATTGAAAAAACTTGGCCTCTAACCCCCCCCCCCCCCCACACACACACACACACACACGAAATAGGATTTTTTTTTGCTTGTCAACTTTTTCAGGTAAGTAAATTTTTTTCTCTAGCTGCAGGCACGTAGCATCGATTTTGAAAGTGGGGGGGGGGGGGGGCAGCCGGAGAAAAAAAAAATTTTCACTTACCTGAACAAGTTGACAAGCAAAAAAAAAAAAGAAAAAAAAACACACAAGTTGTCCAAATACGAAAAACCTATTTCGTGGGGAGGGGGGGGGGGGGGTGGTTGGGTGGTTAGAGGACAACTTTTTACGATGCCAACTTCTTTAAGTAGCAATTTTTTATACTACATTTTCCTAATACAACAAAAAGTGGGGGGGGGGGAGGGGCAACCAGCCTTTCAATGAACATTTCCTATAGTATAAGTAAGGTTGGCGAAAAAAGTGGGGGGGGGGGCAGCCCCCCCCCCCTGCCCCCCGGCCCCCGGATGCTACGTGCCTGAGCTGCCCCCTTTCAAAAAAGATGCTACGTCACTGCGCTGCAGCTGTATTACAATATTACTTGAAAGATATAATATCATTATAGTCAAACAATAATTACAATATTAATGCAAGCCAATCTCAGAAATTAAAGGTACTTGGACACAGATTTGGAGTTATTATTTTCTCCATAATATTACGACTTATATATTTTAATAGCATTTCACACAAAAATTAATTAAAAATCTTACTTGAAGTTATTTCAAATAAAAGATATTAAAATTTCAAATTTTTTGGCGGGTTTGATTGACACATCTTTGCACTTTCACAAATTAATTTTTTATTCTTAATCCTTATAAAAAGTGGCAATCTCGTTGTGTATAAATGAAAAATATTAATACTATAATCCAGAAAATTCAGAGTAGACATGTTCGAAAGCAAAACAAACACGCAATATATTGTCAGTCCGTGCAGTTGTGGTAAGCAGACTGTGACGATTGAACGCACCCGGTGAATTGTAAACAACAACAATAACAGAACTCGTGGCCTGTTTACAGAAACTGTGTACATAACACGAGTGTGCTCAATTTGCTAAACTCTGTACGCAACTCTCAGTTCGGAATGACGATACTTGTGAATGAATTTTGCTTTCTAACATTTCTACTCTGAATAAAATTATTTTTCTGGATAAAAGTTTTAATATTTCTCATTAATACACAACAAGATTGCCACTTTTCCTAAGGATTAAGAATAAGGTTAAAATTTGTGAAACTGCAACGATGTGTCAATCAAACCCGCCAACAAATTTGAAGTTTTAATAACTTTTAAATGAAATAAGATTTTTAATTAATTTTTGTGTGAAACGCTATTAAAATATATAAGTCGTAATATTATAAAGAAAATATTGACTTCATATCTGTGTCCAAGTACATTTAAAACTATAACAAGTACGAAACTTGTATCATATGGGCATAGGAACCTTGGGGAGGGAGTGTCTCCAATAACTTGGCTGATATAATAGTATAGGATAGGAAAAAAATCCTAATAGATCCACCCCCATCAAGGATTTTTGTCTTATTGTCCTCCGCTTTCGCGAAAGCGAGGGAACATTAAATCTCATTCGTCTGTCAGTTTGTCCGTCTGTCAGTCTAGCTGTCTGTCCGTCACAAAAACTTTAACCTTCCTCATAATTTTTGATTTAGTGGAGCTATGACTTTCATATTTCACAAGTGTATTAAATCCTAGGGACAAAACCTTTCTTTGAGTACCACCACATTTGACCTTTTGACCTTGACCTTGGAGTTTGACCCACTTTTACACAAATATTCCAAACTTTTACTTTGGCCATAACTTTCGATTGGTAGATACTAGGGCTTTCATATTTCACATATGTATTCCTTGTGACAATACCTTTTATTGTATACCAACAACTTTGACCTTTTGACCTTGACCTCGGAGATTTCCGTATTTATGAAAAAACTTTAACCTTGGCCATAACTTTTGAACGGTAAGGGCTAGGGCTTTCATACTTCACATAGTTATGTAATCCTTGTGAGGAGACCTTTCTTTGAATACCAACAACTTTGACCTTGACCTTTGAGTTTGGCCCACTTTTTGAAATCTTTAACCTTGGCCGTAATTTTTTAACAGTTTTGGCAAGGGCTTTCATACTTCACATATGTAATACTTGTGGCAAGACCTTTCTTAAGAAACTACCAATATATATATTTAATTTGCATTTAAGAAAAGTTGAATCTTCCCTATTTTGCCATACGGGGTCATCAGTTTCATATAAAATACATGGTTACTGTCTTGAAATATAAACGATATTTGGGCGAGGGTAAGAAAACGTGATAGAGGGCGAGGCTTGCCGAGCCCTCTTACGTTTTCGACCCGAGCCCAAATATCGCCTATATTTCAAGACAGTTATCATGTATTTTGTTTATCCTGCAACAAAATTTTACATTTGAACGTCCAAAACAAGCTATTTCCGACAGATTTAGGCACATCTCTGCAGTTGAAACTATGACGCCATGGCGTAAACATTGCAGTATATGCTTTTAGAACGTCGGAATACATGCACGAGGCTATATTAGGGCTGTGACCGGATAAAGCTTTGGTTTATTAGGTTACCTTTATTAGGTCAATGCAAGGGGTAGTTGCAGGATAAACTTCCTTATAACTTTTGATTGAGAAGAGATAGGGCTTTCATATCTGACGTGCATTACATGTACCTATATATATATGACAAGATTTGACACAATATGTCATTAAAAATGATATCCCACCCACAAAGACACTGAAAGCAGGGGACCACAATTCTTTGAATTTTTTGTCATGGAATTTTTATAGGTATAGTGCCTCTTTGAATTTTTTGTCATGGAATTTTTATAGGTATAGTGCCTCTCCCCCCCCCCCCTAAAAATTTTTGCCCCCCCCCCCAAAAAAAATCTTAAATTGCTATCTACGTGTTCAACGGAAATTAGTAAATACGAGGGTTGTTAGAAAAGTTCGCGGACACATTGAATTACGGAAAATCTATTGTGTACTGTGAAGTATGACCTATGTCTGAATAAATTCCTACATTTTGTTTATTAGTATGTAAAAAATCAGGTCCATTTACTAAAATCTTGAAAATTTACAACGATTTTTACTATTATGTCATAGGATTCACGGAGCAATCCCTTGACGTAAGGCGACGTGACAACCAGATTTCAATCCGTTATACTTTGTCGCAGTTCTATAAATCTTTCCTTTCTTCAGATTTTTCCTATCTTTTTTCTACTTTAAAATTGAACATCCATATCAAGACATGTTACCGTTCTACTATAATGTCTTTTATACTAATTCGGATTGTATTGATTCGGATATTTTCGAGATCTTTAAAAACGTCTATGCAGTAAATTGATCAGGTTTGAAAACTGCAAAACCATATAGGCACAATGTCCATGCGATAAGAGGGTATTGAAGTATCGATGGAGTTAATCATTCAAAATGTTAATCCTTCCATTTATATGAAGTCACAATCATTTGAAAACTTTTGTCCTTTGTGTGTGTAGGAAATTTCCGGCAGCATCTTGAAAATTTTAATCTCTTTTTAGACATTTTACTGTCTACACACATAATTTCTACGTAGTGCAGTGCTCCATGACGCTCAATGACGTTCCGATTTTTGGCTGTATTTTTACGTGTTGATCATTTATAAATGACCATAAAACAGTCATACACCCTCCAATTTAATTCAAAATTTCTCCAAGTGACGTTTCATGAATACTTTAGCAATAGGTAAAATATCATAAATCTCTTTGCGCTACAATTGTGCAATTTTTAATTTTAATAAAGAGTCTTTGTAATGTAAACGTGCCAAAATGGAGCATGCTCCGTGAAGCAAGATTTATCAAAATAAAAAAGCCGTTTATTTTTCAATGATCACCGGAGAGCACCAAATTTTTGTATATTTATTGGAAAATAGGTTAATATTTTATCTGGAAAGTTTGACCGGTTTCGTGGAAATAGCGCGCTCACAATAGAACTTGTCCGCGAACTTTTCTAACACCCCTCGTACATTTTTTTTTAGCCCTGTAAACGAAGATTCGGGGGAATATCGTCTTTTCCCTGTACGTACATCTGTCTGTTTGTCCACAAAACTTGATTATTACCCGTTTGATTTCAAGGAGCTATATGGTTTTCATATTTTTTCACATATGCATTCAAGCTTTCTTCGAGAGAATTCTTAAATCTTGGAGATTGTCCAATTTTTGCTAAAAGGTATGAATTTTTAAACATGTCCTTAACTTTTGAATAGTTAAAATTAGACCTTCTAAATTCTTGTGACAAGACCTTTGTTGAGATACAAACAATTTTGACCTCCTGACTCTGACCTTGGAGTTTGACCTTATTTTGAAAAAAAAATGTACCTGCCTTGGTCATAACTTATGAACAGCTGGTGCTAGGGCTTATATTTCACACGTGTATTTCTTAAGACAAGGCCTCCCACGAGTACCATTAATTTTTATCTTTTAACCTTGACCTTTGATTTCAACCTACTTTTAACAAAAAATAAAATTTTGTCATCACTTTTAAATGGTTGGTGTTTGGGCTTTCATTTTTCACTAGTCTATTCATTGAGACAAGTCCTTTCTTTGGTTAACAATATTTTTTTATCTTTTGACCTTGACCTTGCAAGTTTGACTTGCATTTGATAAACTTAAGCCTTTGTCATCAGCTACTATCCAGAGCATCAGTGTTTCATAAACACACTTTTTTTCTTTTTTTTT